GAGAGAAGCAACGCCTTGAGAGAGATACATCAATTGGTTGCCTCCGGAATCAAACAAGTAACCCTTCAGTGCGGGGGACCAATGCTTAACCAATGAGCAAAACCAGCTAGGGCTCCCCCTCTTCTGTTAAGCTATTAGATAGTACCTCTTGCTACTTACTGGGCACTTGGCTTTAACAGTTCTCTTCCTAATCTGTGTTCTGGGAAACCAGGTAACCAAGTTTATTAAATTGTGTGTAAAGTAAGAGCAAATAGGTTTTGAATATGAGAGTCTTTCCTGGAAGTGAGTAGTGTTGGCTTTTCAAAAGCAGTGGGATGTTTCTTTTCACTTGTTTAGTATTTTCAATTCCCCTACAGATGCCATAGATTGTTGGACAAATTGCCTTCTGTAGGAAACTGAGGTTTTATCATAGTATTTTTCTGCTAACACAATTCAACTAGATATGATTTTCTCCATCAAAAATTATCCTTTGTTTCTAAAGTACTCTTTTTGGTTCCCCTTGATTTCTGATTTCAAACCATTAGTCCTTATGATATGGGCATAAAGAAAATCTAAATCACTTAGAAACCTGGTGAGACTTAAAGATCTTATAGATTATAGGGAGCCTTCCAAATATTTTTTTTTTCTGATAGGAAAAAGGCCCAAGTTGTAGTCTTAAGTTAAAGCCAGTTTACTCAATTTTTAAAATGTAAAAGCTACCGTTTAAAATTGAGTGTTGCCTGGCTGGTATGGCTCAGTAGTTGAGCGTCAGCCTGTGAACCAGAAGGTCACGGTTCAATTCCTGGTCAGGGCACATATCTGGGTTGTGGGCTTGATCCCTAGAGGGGGGCTTGCAGTAGGCAGCCCACTGATTATTCTCATTATTGAGAGAAGTTTCTACCTCTCTCTCCCTCTCCCTTTCTCTCTGAAATCAATAAAAATATATTTTAATAAATAAAATTGAGTGTCCATTATATGCCAGATATACATATTTTCTTTCCTATACTTGGAACAGTGCTGCAAAGCAGTAACAACCCTACTTTACATATGTGGAAAACTTAAGCTAATAGACATTAAGTGACCTAACAAGGGTCAAAGGGACAGTGAGTGTAAGATCTGAGATTCAAATTCAACCCTGAATCAAAAATCTGCATTCTCGGGGGTGGGGGCAGCCAGGGAGAGGTCAATGGGGGGAAAAGGAGACTTATGTAATACTTTAAACAATAAAGAATTTAAATTAAATAAAAAGAGAGTGCATTCTCTTCTGTTTTTAAAATAGAAAACAGGAATTTATTTCTCAAATAATAGGAAGATCCTGGAGAGCAGACTGCTCTTCTCTACTGGTCAGTCAAGAACTTTGATTCCTCTCACATTGTTGCTTTGCCCTTCATAAGGATTTCACCTTCAATGCATGGTCAAAGCTCAGTCTCAGACACATCTGGCCCAGCTTGCTCTGGAGTGGCAGAGGATAGACAAGAATGGGCAAGAGACCGTTCAAGTGTCTGTGTGTTGACCAAAAGGAGGAATAGGAGATATGGGAGCTCCTGGATGAATGAGGAGGATTAAGGACTAGGGCGCTCATCTCCCCACCTCTACCCACATCCCTTCCTCTGGTGCCCAGACCTAGAAATCTACTCCCAGAGATTGCATCCTTTCTATTAAATCAAGTTGCCTTTCATATACTATTACTGAAAGGTAACAAGAAGGTATACAGCATGTATTCTGGTAATGTGGCCAACTTGACCATGAACTTACTGCTAACCAACCAGTTGTGTCTATAATCAGCAATTATTATTATTATTTTTTTAATATATTTTATTGATTTTTTACAGAGAGGAAGGGAGAGAGATAGAGAGTTGGAAACATTGATGAGAGAGAAACATCGATCAGCTGCCTCCTGCACATCTCCTCCTGGGGATGTGCCCACAACCCAGGTACATGCCCTTGACCGGAATCGAACCTGGGACCTTTCAGTCCGCAGGCCGACGCTCTATCCACTGAGCCAAACCGGTTTTGGCATTAGCAATTATTATTAAGTATAAAGTAAAAGTGGGTTTTCCCAGCTGCTAGAATCTCCCCCTGAGGGCGGGAGTTTGGGAGTGACTGGGACTAACCCAGCTGGTTTGATCCAGAGTGGCCAAATGGTTTAAAGGACAGGGTTGGATTCCACAAGAGCGATCTAAAGCCACCTAATGAAAGCCAAATGGCCATCAGGAATATGAACACCTTCATCCAGAATGCAAAGGCAAATACTGGATTGATAGAATATAAAGTTGAGACTTTGGTGAGAACAAGTAGAGGAGTACTTCAATAAAAAGAAATCTTAGGCAATTTCCTAAAACACCTGTGATTGCAAGATATATAGAGAGGCCAAAGTGGCTAAAAGGGAATAGGGTGAAGATATATGAGTTGACTTGACTCATAGGAGTAATTCACAAGTTCTATTAGCCAGTGGCATAGTCCCCCAATGAGTAAATGACAATGAAAATTGTGCTTTTCTGAGTTCTCAGTCAATATTTATAGCAGATTTTTAAACATTTATTGATTTGAGAGAGAAAGAGAAACATCAATTTGTTGTTTTACTTATTTATGCATTCATTGGTTGATTCTTGTGTATACCCTAACTAGGGTAGTTAGGGATCGTGCCCTAACTAGGGATTAAACCCACAACCTTGCCATATCGGAACAATGCTCCAACCAACTGCGCTACCTGGCCAGGGTAGCAGATATTTGAATTCAACAATTCTTTAGTTTTTCTTCCTTTAATTCTGACAAAAACCAATTCTGATTTACCTCAATTAATTCATGTTCTTTGTTCCATTTTCTGCTTCTACTTTAGTAGTTTTATGCTATAATTAGTATATATAAATATATATATATTTAATTATTTATTTATACTGTTTTGGAGTTTCTGCCCAAACTGCTTATACCCAGTGAGCTATCTTATTCCATGATTCTCTGGCCAACTCCATCCTTGGATGTTGCTTTTTTTTTTTTTTTTTTGGTTTTTGTTTTTTTGACTCCATCCTTGGATGTTTCTTTTTTTTTTTTTTTTTTGGATGTTGCTTTTTTAATGACTTTTATTTTTACTTCATATTTTCAGATTTACAATTACGTCTGTGACTTGGCCTTCTATGCACCTCTTACTTCTTTACCTAGAAGATCTCATTTTCCTTGTGGTAAACAGGGTTGGTATTCTAGGGGTTCTTCCTTCCTCAGCTTCTCTAACGCATCAAAGTTGGGGACAAAACTCAGTTGTAGTCAAAACTCAGTTTAACTAAAAGTTAACCAAGGTCAACAATTGACCATTCAAGCTTTGCTTTGAATCTTTGTGTGAAGAGGAGGAGGAAGTGGAGCTGTGGGCCATGAGCTACGACACCATGTTGATGTTGTGTCTTAGATTTTCCTACTCGTTTCTTGTCTCTTTAGTTCCTATAGTTGTAAGCTGCAGTTTTTGAGAATGAAGTTAGCCTAGTGTAGTTGTGCTCCAATAAAGACTCCTCTCCAATGTTTTATGACATATCCCTTCATCTCAAGCTGCTCCCTTCAGCAGAAGTATTTTTATGGCTCCCCCAAGTCTCATCTCAAACATCACCTCTTTGGGAAGCAGTCTTTAATTCCTGGGGTTAGCAAAAATTTTCTGTAAAAAACTAAATAGTAAATATTTTAGGCTTTACAGGCCAAGAGCAATGAGAGTGCTACATAAGGTCCATGTCCCCAAGATTCAATTCTGTTATGGTACGAAAACAACCATAGATAATAGACAAATGGGAGTGGTTGTAGTGCAACAAAATGTTGTTTACAAAAATGGGCAGTGGGCTAGATTTGCCACATGATCTTTAGTTTGTTGATCCCCCTACTCTACTTAAATATTTCTTCTCCACTGTTCATGCCTCCATTGTCACATTTGTACTGTGAGTTTACCATGAGCAACTTGAGGGCAAGAATTCTGTCTTTACATCTTTCTGAACTAAACAAAATTGAGCTCCTAATGGCTATAGTTACTCTATAAACATTTCTGGGAGAAAGTGGGGAAGAAAGATAGGAAGAGGTGGGTTCCTAATTAGGCAGGAAATGGGACTATGTAAATCCTCTACTGATATGCAATGAAATACGACTTTCCCTTAGTAACAGGAACAGATGCTGTTTATAAAATGCATTGGGCTCTTCTGAAAAGTTTGATTTCAATACTTTTGCATTTGGAGATTCATATATGCAATAGCCAGCCTCCAAGGCCCTCAATGATCCTTACCTCCTGAAATTCCATGTACCTTCCCATGCTGAATAGGGCCAATAGAATATTGTCGAAATAAAGATGTATGATTTCTGAGGTCAGTTATACAGGACATGTGGCTTCTGCCTTGCTCTCTCTTGGATCACCCTCTCTGGAGGAAACTAGCTGCTAGGTCTTAAAGACAAGCAACCCTATGGAGTGGTCCATGGGGCAAAGAACTGATGCCTCCTGCCAACAGGCATATGAGTGAGCCATCCTGGAATTGGATTGTCCTTTCTCAGTTAAGCCTCAGATGGTGCAGTCCTGACTGACATTTTGACTATAAACTCATGAGAAACTCTGAGCCACACAACTTATATACTCCTGAACTCCTGACCCATAGAAACTAAATGAGATAATAAATGTTTATGATTGTCTTAAACTGCTAATTTTGGAAATTATTTGTTTTATACCAATAGATAATTCACAATATGCTAAGTGGCTTTCCTTCTTTCCTACAGTTTTTTTTAAATTTTTTAAAAATATACTTTATTGATTTTTTTACAGAGAGGAAGGGAGAGGGATAGAGAGTTAGAAACATCAACGAGAGAGAAACATTGATCAGCTGCCTCCTGCACACCCCCTACTGGGGATGTGCCCGCAGCCAAGGTACATGTCTTTGACTGGAATCAAACCTGGGACTCTTCAGTCCGCAGGCCGACGCTCTATCCACTGAGCCAAACTGCTTGGGGCCTTTCCTACAGTTTTTAAGAACACCTTGTTCATCTTTCATTAGGGACCTGCCAAGATGGTCCGTGTTCGCAGCAAGATCGTGAAGAAAGCAGCCAAGGTCATCACCAAGAAATACTACATACACCTGGGCAACAACTTCCACACCAACAAGCATGTGTGTGAGGCGATCACCATTATCCCCAGCAAGAAGCTCCGAGCCCTGGCTGATGTGGCTCAGTTGGTTGACCGCCCTCCCATACACCAAAAGGTCATGGTTGGATCCAGGTCAGGGCATATACACATATACAGGTTGTGGGTTTGATCTTTTGATCCCTAGCTGGGGTACATATAGAGGCAACAGATAGAAGTTTCTCTCTCACATAGATGTTTCTCCCTCCCTCTCCCCTTTCCCTTCTTCTAAGACCAACAAAGTGTGAAGAAGAAGAGGAGGAGGGGGGGGAGGGGAGGAGGAGGAGGACGAGGAGGAGAGGAAGGGGAAGGGGAAGGGGAAGAGGAAGGAGAAGGAGAAGGAGAAAGAGGAAAGAAGCAGCAGCTCCAAAACAAGATACCAGGCTATGTCACATTTGATAAAGTGGATTCAGAGAGGCCCCATGAGAGGTATCTCCATCATGCTGCAGGATGAGGAGAGAGAGAGGAGAGATAGTTTTGTTCCTGATGTCCCAGCGCTGGATCAGAAGATCATTGAAGTTGATCCTGACACGAAGGAAATACTGAAGCTCTTGGACTTTGGCAGTCTGTCCAACCTGCAGGTCACTCAGCCTACAGTTGGGATTAATTTCAAAACACTATGTGGTGCCATTTGAATCTTCCTGGTATACTGTAATATTGTCAATAAACCATGGACAACCAAAAAGAAAAAGAAAAAAGTACACCTTGTTCTTCTCTTCTTAGCATTTAAAATATCTAATTCTATATTTGTTTAATGTCTGTTTATCTCCTTTTCTGGGACAGAGATGATATCTAACTGTTCATCAAACACAACTCCCAGGATTCAAATATATAAATATATAGCCCTGGATGATTTTGCTCAGTGGTTAGAGGATTGGCCTGCAGCTGGGAGGGTCAAGAGCACAGGTTCCCCAGCCCCTGGTAGGGGCGTGTGCGAGAGGCAACCAATCTAATCAATGTGTCTCTCTCAAACTGATGTTTCTCTCTCTCTCTCCCTCACCCCTCCTCTCTCTCTAAAATCAATAAGACCATATTCTTGGGTAAGGATTAAAAATCAAAATCTTCTATTCTCTCTAGAAATCAAGGATACAAAGGTGAATAAAGTAAGCTTACAAACTTACATTTCAGTGATGGGAGACAGACAATAACAAAATAATTAAGCCCTAGCCAGTTTGGCTCAGTGGATAGGGTGTTGGCCTGCAGACTGAAAGGTCCCAGGTTCAATTCTGGTCAAGGGCACATGCCCGGGTTGTGGGCTCTATCCCCAGTGGGGGACACGCACGAGGCAGCCGATTGATGATTCTCTGTCATCGTTGATGTTTCTATCTCTCTCCCCCTTCCTCTCTGAAATAAATAAAAATATTTTAAAAAAATAATTAAAGCCCTAGTCAGTGGTTCTCAACCTTCCTAATGCCGCGACCCTTTAATACAGTTCCTCATGTTGTGGTGACCCCCAACCATAAAATTATTTTCGTTGCTACTTCATAACTATAATTTTGCTACTGTTATGAATCGTAATGTAAATATCTGATATGCAGAATGTATTTTCATTGTTCGCGACCCACAGGTTGAGAACCACTGTGAGAGCATCGGCCTGTGTACTCAAGCGTCTCGGGTTCAATTCCGGTCAAGGGCACATGCCCGGGTTGTGGGCTCAATCCCCAGTAAGGGCGGTGCAGGAGGCAGAGGATCAATCATTCTCTCTCTCATCTCTCTCTCTCTCTCTCCCTCTTTCTTCTTCTCCGAAATCAATAAAAATATACAAAAAAAAAATAAGTCAAATGATTCACTGGAGCAAAAGCAGGAAAGGGGAAAGAGAATGCCAGGGTTGAGCAGGGTTACAACTTTATACAGGACAATGAGGAAATATCTCAGTGAGAAGGGAATATCTGAGCAAAAGTAGAAGAAAGTGAGGGAGTGTATTAGCCAGCTCAGGCTGCCATAAGAAAACACAATAAACTGGGTGATTTAAACAACAGACATCTATTTTCTCACTGTTCTAGAGGCTGGAAATCTGAGATCAGACTGTCAGTATGCTCAGGTTCTAATGAGAGCTCTCTTTCTGGCTTGTAGACCATAAACTTCTTGTTTTGTGTACTCACATGGCCTTTCCTTGATGAATGTACATGGAGAGAGAGAGTGCTCCCTAGTCTCTTCTCATGTAGACACTAATTCTACTAGAGCAAGGCCCCACCCTTATAACCTCATTCAACCTTAATTATCTTTATAAAAGCCCTCTCTCCAGATAGTTTCGTTGGGCCTTCAACATGTCAATATTTCAGTCTATAGCAGGGAGTGAGTAACGTAGATATCTGGGGGAAGAATATTTTAGGCAGAGTGTGGACCAAAGATATAAGTTAAGGAGTTGTCAGCTTATGGATGATGTTTAAAGCCCTCCATTGGGCTGGGTGAAATCACCAACAGAGTAAATGTAGAGAAGAGAAACAAATCCAAGATCTGAATCCTGGTGCACTCCAATGAGGAAGAAGTAGCAAAGGAGACTGAAAAGGAGTAGCCAGCGAATGAGGTCCGAGAAGATCAGGAGAGTGTAGTATCCTGGAAGCCTAGTGAATAAAACATAACATTTCAAGAAGGAGGGGGTGAGCCCTGGCCAGGTAGCTCAGTTGAGTGGAGTGTCCTCCAGATGCACCAAGACTGTGGGTTCAATCTCCTTTCAGGACACATACAAGAAGCAACCAATGAATGCATAGATGAGTGAAACAATAAATGTTTCTCTCTCTCTCTCTCTCTCTCTCTCTAATCAATCAATAAATTAATTAATAGTAATCATTCAAGCACCAATCTCTACACCAAGCATGTCAAACTCAAAGGCCAACATGGGCCAAATAAACAAGGTTTAAGTTTATGGTATTAGTGGAGAGAAATGGTGCGCCTGTAAGGTAAATGAATGCAACACGATTATAGTAATCAGTTAGCAAACGTTGTAGTTCGTTATTAATAATTATGTATAACAGGATATTGTAAAAATTAAGTTACAAAATTTATATTAAAATGTTTCTTACATACTGTTATATTGGCTGGGCCACAAAAATGTTAGTTGTGGGTTGTGAGTTTGACATGCTTGCTCTACCACCAGTAAGGTTGAAACCTCTTGTCTGTAAACTGTGGCAATAAGCATGATTTGCCAACACCTATGTTGCTGATGATGATGTACTTGAAGAGATATGCATACCCCATGGCTTTGCAGCTGGGTGCCAGGGCACACGGCTCCTCCTCCTGCTACTGTTCCTCCTCTTCCTCCATGCCCCTCAACCTGACTGCTCTGGGTCTCCAAATGCCAAGCCTGCCTATGGAAAACAGCAGCCAAGAGAGAGGAGCTGAGAAGCTGGACAAACGGACACCCGTGGAGCTGAGCCCAGTCGAACAATAACAATTAGGAGGATATTTTTTTCCATTGACTTTTTAGAGAGAGTGGAAAGGAGAGGGAATAAAGAGGGAGAGGAGAGAGAGAAAGAACCATTGATCTGAGAGAGACACATCGATTGGTTGCCTCCTGCACCCAACCTGGATGAAGGGGATCAAACCTGCAACTGAGTTATGTGCCCTTTGACTTGGACCAAACCGGCAACTCTCCAGTGGGCAGGCCAATGCTCCAACCACCAAGTAACGCCGGCCAGGGAAATTCCTCCCTTTTTATTGAAAACATGCAAACATGCTCTAGTATTTCATTCCCATACTTAAAAAAATTCTGGAAAATTTTTAAAAATACTTTTTGAGTATTTAAGGAACGGTTTTAAAGGTAAATTTAAATTCAACTATGTAAAAAAAAATTCTGCAGGGAAAAAAATCACTATAAACAAAGTCAAAAGACATATTTGCAACTCATACACAAATAGAGGGCTAACATGCTTGATATATTAAGAGTTCCAAAAATCAATAAAAAGACCAGCAATTCATTAGAAAAAATGATCAAAAGATAAGAAAAGACAATTCAAAGAAAAAAATAAATACAAATAGCTTTTAAACTTTTGAGAATATATTCAACCTCACTCAAAAGAAGCAAAATACAAAATAAAAGAGACCATTTTGGGTGCAACATCAAGAGACCATTTTTCACTTACTAGATTGGTAAAGATAAAAAATGTGATAACACACTGTATAGGGAAACAGGCCTTCTCATCATTGCTTGTAGGACATATTGGTATACAAATTAGAGAAGCATTTTGTTTCCATATCTATCAAATTTACAAATATACTTACCCTTTGACTCAGCAATATCCTACAGATATATTGTCACATGTGTGAAAAGACCTCTGTACAAAATTATTCATTGCAGCTTTATAATAGCAAAAGATTGGAAACCACTTAAATATTCATCAATAGAGATCAATAGGAGATTGAATAAATAAATTAGGGTGTAACAACACAATACAACCATAGAAAAGCAGGGCCCTGGCCAGGTAGCTCAGTTAGAGCATCATCCTGATATACCTTGCAAGTTTGATCCCCAGTCAGGACACATACAAGAATCCTATCTAATAAAGAGGTAATGCCAAAACCGGTAAGGCTCAGTGGATAGAGCGCCGGCCTGCGGACTGAGGGGTCCCGGGTTCGATTCCGGTCAAGGGCATGTACCTGGGTTGCGGGCACATCCCCGGTGGGGGATGTGCAGGAGGCGGCTGATCGATGTTTCTCTCTCATCGATGTTTCTAACTCTCTCTATCTCTCTCCCTTCCTCTCTGTGAAAAATCAATA